AAGTTAAACGATTTATAACGTTCGAAATTTCTAAATATTCCTGGTCAGATATCTTAAGTTTTCCGATTGATAAGCGTTATAACAACCACAGTTATAGCTTTAGAAGTTTTATGGCACACTGATTATAGTAAACTACTAATAGACACTCTCCTGACGCGCCGCGTTGGTTATATTTGTATACCTGTGTGGGGGCATTCTAGGAATTTCAGTCTTACGTAACAATGCAAGTTACATTTTAAACGTTTATGTATATACATATATTGTTGATTCTTACTCTCAAGAATCATCTACAACTTTGGAGAACAGGAGTGAGTTTCGCAATACCTATCTAACAGTATAAGCTATGTATGTTTCTAAATATAAACTTAATCTAAATAACGTTCATATTAAAATAAACACATAACAGCAAATTCGTTACAGTCTCAGTATGGTATATTTTTATTATCTATCTTGTATTTGTTTCTGTTTTCGTACTCATTGGTATAATGTTTATATATTCTGTCTTTCTTTGACATTGAAAAAAGCCTTTCGGACGGTAGAGCTGCTTTAACCTATTACTTCTTTTGAACTTAACCTGTATCCTTCCATTACCCATTCATTAATTTTACTTTGATCTAATGTTATTTCCTGTAGTGAGTGAATTTATTATTAAATATATTGTTTACTATTTTGTGTCACTGTTTATACATATAGTAATGTATGTAGATCAGTCTACTTGGAAACGTTGGAAGTTAGTTGCGTTGGAAAGGCAACAGCCAAATTATTTTCTAATAATGATAATTATCCGAACAGTAACAACAGGGTTCCAGCTCCCTAAATGCTTGAGACCTTAATAACATCTATTTTTTATTTAAATGTTTTCCGACTTAATTCAATAACCAACATCTATATTTCAATTTTTTTTCTTTTTTAATGAACATATTAACTGAGCCAGTTTTTGCTCAAATACATGTTAAATACAGTAAAATATTTATTCTATACAAAATAGTTACCCTCTTTTTTTGGTAGTACCATAGTACTACTATTTTAACATATTCTAGATTTGTGTTTCACATGAGCCTACAGGATTGATTGAATTCTGTGTAGGATCATGACAATACATACCTTGTATGAGGTGCTGAATTTTGTCAGCCTATAATATTTACTGAATCCTGAGCAGTATTTTTGTACAAGATCCTGTTATGAGAATATAGGATCCTATACAATCTTCTAAAGGGTTCTGTCCAAGATTTCAATCGGGAAAAAATATAATACGTAACATGTACAACGTTACACATAGTAATATTCTATAGATTACAGTCCAATTTACGCTACAGGGAATGGCATTAGAACAAAGTAGACCGTGAGAACCAGAAAAAGGCACAACAGGCACCTTAATAACCAGTACGATAGTGAACTAACTTTTGTGATTCTCTTTATTCAAAAAATAAAAACGCCCGTTGTTTATTCAAGGAATGCACATACCTCGTAAGTTAACACACAAAAAAAACAAGTGTATTACATATAAATGGGTAAACAATATTCTATTCATTATCTGTTTATTCAAGGAATGCACATACTTCGTAAGTTAACACACAAAAAAACAAGTGTATTACATATAAATGGGTAAACAATATTCTATTCATTATCTGTTTATTCAAGGAATGCACATACTTCGTATATTAAAACACAAAAAAAACAAGTGTATTACATATAAATGGGTAAACAATATTCTATTCATTATCTGTTTATTCAAGGAATGCACATACTTCGTATATTAAAACACAAAAAAACAAGTGTATTACATATAAATGGGTAAACAATATTCTATTCATTATCTTTATTCGCCGCATTCTATTCGTATTTAGATTTCTAATAAAATATGTAATTACTTGTTGAAAGCACCCGAAATCACTCTAATTTTCTTGTTTATTTAATGAAGAAAATTATAACTTTTAAGTTTTCTCTCTTGCTACAGGAACGCCAAGCCGATAGTTTGGTAGAAACAATGGACTCGGGAAGAGCTCAGGTCCCACAGTGTTCCCAGCTTGGTGGAGATTACCTTGAATTGCAAACAGGATACAGGGAAGAAGTAGCTGAAGTTTCATTTGCTGTACCCTTCAGGGATTTCCAACAGACTGAGGTTTAAAGTTATGTGCAAGAATAAGAAAGACAGTTTAAAATGTAAACCAGTAGAAACATGACTGACCCTGCGAAGTGCCTTGATTCTCGCTTGCTTACATACGTTATATATTCGAAGAGGAGCACGTGGATCAAGTCATTTGTATTGATTGGAGATCACTACGCTATAGGGTTTTCTTTTGTTCTAATTGTAAGTCTGTTTACGTTTGAAGAAATAAATTGATATCTTAGCATTAAAACGTACACGAAGCGTGAAAGAACACTACAGGTTTGAGATCATTACTACTTTTCCATAAAGTAAAACGTACACGAAGCGTGAAAGAACACTACAGGTTTGAGATCATTACTACTTTTCCACAAAGAAGTAATATTTATAAATGGACATTTAGACATTCAGCTACGGAAACTGTAAACTTACTTAATTTCACGTTTGCATGTAAATTGCCGTGTTAGTTATAACACCATATTTAAATGTAACCTGTAATATAGAAGCGTTTTTATGAAATATATATATAACCCAAGTTTGCTTACTCATTTACATTCACAAAATATCTACATTATAAGGAGTTTAGTTCAGGTGTTCTTGAATACTGTATGTTAACCAAATTCATTTATGCACCTGTCTAGAAAAGAGGAACGTTACTAAACTTCCTGACTGGTATATCTAAGCTTTATCAGTAATCCTAATCATTATGTCTAGATCTTCTCATATTTCACATCTAAGAGCTCTATAACGAAGATTTTTCTGCTATCATACTACATTTCTAGATCGTTTAATTATCTATTTAATCTAGCTCGTTTGTCGGGTCTTTTGTCAATTATTAAAGCAAATATTCATAGTTGGTGATTTTTAATATAGAAAATCTAATCAAGGGACAAGCTGGTTTGATGTTTTTTAGTGCAAAGCTACATAATGAGATATCTGCACTTCGTCCACTATATGAAAGTTAACCCCGGTTAACAACATTGTAGGTCCATAAATGTACCATTTACCCACCAGTAGATGAAAGGAGAGTGAATGTTGTTACTCGTACTTTGTTTTCCTTCTTATGTTCATCAACTTGATTTTGATTGTACTTATTCCTATCAGGAATTGATTCATACCAATGTCAACATAACCAACTGCTGGCTATTACTAATAATATATAACACATCAATTTGGAAATAGGTTTTGTTTTTTTACTGGCAGCATATTACTTTCTTCCTTCGCCACTCTCGATTTATTCTTTCTCTTTCACATCTTCTGGTCTTCTCCTCTCTGTTGAACTCCTGTCTTTTATATTCCTTTCTCAAATCCACACCAGACCGGTCCCTTTCTTTAGGGTTTTACACGTTTTCTGTATATTGGATTATTATGTTTCATAACCACAGGGGGTCTGGAATTCTCCATGTAGGCTGAACTTAGAAAGATGGCTGCTATATCCACTTACCTCAACCATTTTCTAATGACTTATAATGGAGTAATACTCTAATTCCTTAGTGACTGGCCAAACTGGCCGATATCTCACATTCTCTTCAAACATTGTTACCTTACACTTAACTTCATAACAAATGCATATATGTATTCGATTTCTCATTACTTGAGTTTAGTCGTCAAGAATACTGAACTAAAAAAGTTCTACCTCCGTGCAGATATAATTTAGTTATAAAATTAAGTGGAAATATTTTAGAGGAATGACTAATTTACGCAATGCGTTTGGATAAATGTATGAAAACTGATATTAATAAGTAAGCAAACAACGAGTTATAGGAAACTTTTAATTAATGGTAGAACATACTACATGTTTTGACAGAACATTAGTCTGTCTTCGTCATGTACTTTAGAAACAAGACGCAAAGAACACCAAGGTCACCTGCGTAGAGGTGATTTCCCGTTATCTACCTTAACATATCATCAATATGAAACAGGTCACAAAATACTTTGGTACGAATTTCTAGAGATTACACCAAAACTGAAAAAGAAAGAGACTGTGTAGAAACTTTAGAAATCATCAAGTAAATGACCTCTCATTAAACCGTTCACTTGATCAGACTTGACCTTTAGCTATATTTTGTCACCTGCTGACACCATTTTCGTCACATTAAATTCCTATTGTATTTGTAACGATAAATAAGCCTCGGATTGTTTAGTGCTGATTATACCTGAAGAAAACAGACCAATGTTCTGTCGAAACAGTATGATCCACCATCAATAAAACTTTTCCTTATGCTTATAAATCGTTGTTTGCCTACCTGTTATTAGCATAATGTGCTTCCTCACTCAAGTAAAAAAGCCAGTATTGCTACATAGGTTTTGAAAAATCGAAACGTTTCACAATTTAGCCAACGAAAAAGACTTTTAGTTTACCGTGACAGTCCACTGTCTGTTTTACATTGCTCTTTTCGTGAAAAAAAAACTAAATTTATGAAACTTTAATTACTGTTTTTATGTTCAGTCTCTTTTTAACTAATAATGGTTCTATATGGATAAATATAACTTTTAAACAAAAGTATTTTGTTCTATTATTTAAAACAAATTGACTGACTACAAAAGAAGAAAGGAAATAGGAATATATATATATAATAATAAGATTTTTCTCTCGGATAAATTATCATTTTTTTATTGGTATGGTGTAAGCGCCTTCTCCAAGCTGTTTAAGCATGTTTATAATTAATTATACTTGTCATAAGACATTATTATTAGGCTTATTATATTTTAGCACTACATTCTTTATGTAGTTCGTTCGGAGTTTTCAAGAATTAAAAAGATCGTATATTAATATTAATAATATTTCAACTGCACTATGTTCATCTAATAATAATGTCTTATGACAAGTATAATTAATTGTAATCATGTTTCGCTAGCTTGGAAAAGGAATTCGTACCAAAACATTTGCTTTTGTAACAAGAGGCTTATATAAATAGTGTTCCGACCACTATTGTGTTTATTGTATCCCATCCGGCCTGAAGAGCTATGGATTAAGCGAAACGTCGGTAACTGATAGTGTGGTTGAAATCCTATTATTATTATTATTATTATACACTCTTCAAATTCCCTGGGGCACTACATAAACAATATAGTGTTAAAAATATAATAAGCTTAATAATAATGTCTTATGACAAGTATAGTTAACTTTTTTATTATTTCTTTTCCGGCGTGTTACTGATACTAGTCAGCTGAAACAACTAATAAAGACTTCATTGTGCCAAATAAATGACGTTTTTGTTCGTAACTTTTAATATAACTCTTTTGTGGTCCTGAAAAATAATTTGATTGGTAGTATTACAGGCCTGAGAACACATTACAATATAAAAAAGATGACGAAAGTGCGTCGAACTCGAGTCATACACGTTTACCAATACAGCCATATTTGCAGAAAGGTATAGTACGTCCAGAAAAACGTTTTCCATTTTGTCAGAGTTCATAGAGTGTACAATAATAAACATTCATTTCTCGGCGTGATCTCTGAAATTTGTTTTCATTACAAATGCAGTTTACTGACTTTTTTTTGCTTTACTTAGGAATCAATAAAGAATTAATAAACCATCATTCTGCTTCTTGAGAATAGATGAATAAATAGAAGGTTGAACTATAAAACATTAAACTTAAGAAGTCATTGTATTTACTCAAATAGTTTATCAATGGTAAATGAACAACTGTATTTGTTTATTGTTGAGATAATATTGTTGCTCCGTCAAACAGCCAGCAGATTCTGTAATATTGATAATAGGTAAAGTTTGAAAGCTACAACAATAAACCTCCATAATTATACTTATTATCTATGTTTAACGTGTATGAAACAAACATGTTCAGTTATTTTCAAATAAATCTAAAGCCTTACGTTTTGTAGTATCATGATTTTTACTTTTAAATATGGACAATTTGCTATTTCAGTCTCCAAATTTTAACGATATAAGCTGCCAAGCTTACCACTAAGCCATCGGTGAGAGAGGAGAATATTTGATGAAACTGAATTTAGGTGATTAGTATTGTACATCAAATTTTATAAGTTATAGCAAACGAAACACGTCTAAACCTTCGGAATTATGGAGTTATGTTAACGAAAAATAAATTAATAAAAGTAGTTGATATATTGTTTACTGACCTGTACAAGTACGTTATAAGTATTTCACATTCTATATAATAATGTTTACCTCTCTCTTTCTGGGGGAATTTGCATTATATTCGAAAATAATCGATATCTAATATTCTTGTCTCATCTATGCTATTCTATCTTATTGTTTTAATTCGCCCCTTTTTATCGAAAAATATAATGTGCTTTATAAGATTTTTACTGAAAAAAGTAAATAAATAATGATAAACAAAAATATTTCAGAAATTTAAATTTTTCATTAATAATGTATGTATTCGTAATAGTATATCTCTAACTCTTCACATGAAAGGACTTCAATATTTCAACGTACTTTTCTTATTATAGTATTCATGTAACATTTTAAGCGTATTCGTGTACTAAGAAATGTATTGTTTATCATGGTGGTTAGAAATATTTCTTGCCAGTGAACTGTACTCTATAAACTTAATATATGAAGCATTATTATATGTAACTCTCTTCTTGATATACTGAAACATTAATTAAAACTTATTTTGATATACAAGGAGTCTTTGTCAATGCTTCAAATTTATGTTATGCTTGAGTCACATTAACAAATTTCCACCGAGAGCTACGAATTTTCAAAGTGTTTTATTGCGATTATTTCTAAGAAGAAATCGTGATAATATCCCTTCCCACTAGCGTGCAGCGATATTCTGATAGAATGAATGATTTTACCATATTATTAATGTTTTTTCGCTTGTCTTTTTTTTTGAATAAAGTTCGTTACTTTGTCGAATTCCAAAATAAAGAGATGTCAAGAATCAAAATGGACATTATGGTTAGCATAAAATTATTACCTAATATTAAGACAATCTTAAGTATTTTGAATCAAAAATACATCACAGCAAACAAAATATGATAAAATTTAGGTTTACTTTTAAATGTTTGTTCTCTGCAATGTTCCTGACGTTAC